ATTACCATAAAAGCTAAGGAGGCCTGAGGGTTGAATATTCCTGCGAAGGAAACAGTTCCCAATTCGGTTCCCAGTCATGGCACAAGCCTGGGTTGCTGGTGTTTCTCTCATAATACATATTCATGTTTCTCTCCTTCTCCTTCTCCCTCCCTTCCCATCTCTCTAAAAATAAATAAATAAAACTTTAGAAAAAGCTAACATTTGAAGTTTATGATATCTTTTCACACTTTATATTTAATGGAACGCTTGAGAGGTGGGATATTAGTTTCAAGTAGATATATTCATTTATAAATATTTATTAAGTGTTACTGGGAATACAGGGTGGATAAGTGACAGTCTTTGTCCTTAAGAGTTTCCAATCGAATGGGAGAAGCAGACAAATAAGCAAGCAAGTAGGGGCCTAGATTCCGGCAGTACAGCACTGTTTAATAATTGGCTCTCTGAGGTTAGGTGATGGTGTTGATCGTTCTCCTATCTGTAGCAAAGGTTCAAGCACATAGCACTCAAGAAATGAATTACACAAACAGGATAGGCTGTCTCAGCAATACAGGCACTACTTCATGACAGAATGTAGGGTATGTGGGGAGAGCAGTGTGAGGAAATGTAATCAGCTAAGGCAGGCTGGAGATCTGATTTTGGAAAGCTGCCTACATTACATTACGCCAAGGAATTTACAGGTGACAGTACTGGGGATTCAACACAATAGATTTTAAAACATGAGAATGACAATCAGGTTTGTGCTTTGGACAGATAACTTTGGTGGGAGAGTGAAGCACAGATTAAAATGGGAAGAGATAAGAGGAAGGAAACTGTGTAGTATGTTATTATAATATATCAGTGCTTTCCAAACTTTTTTTTTCACACTATGATCATTAATTTTATTTGTTCAAGGATTCATATTGCAAGCATTAAACTAAGCATGGGCTTTGATTCTGTGAGCTCAAATTCACATATTTAGGGAGATAAAAGCAAACTGTGATCCATGTACATAGATGGAAACTAAAGGCTCATGGTTAATCACATTGCATTTTTAATTTCTACAGCCTAGGAGCCTGAAGTCACAGGTCTTTGAGGTCCTTCTGGATGTTCCACAGGGTATCTGCACTTTTCTTGAATTGAGCCACCTCATCATCCTTCAGTTTCAGGTTGATGACACTGGTTAATCCCCGAGCATTCAGGATACATGGAAGACTCAGGAAGACTTAATTCTCAATTCCATACATCCCCTTCACCATCGTTGACACTGGATGAATCCTAGATAAATTTTTCAATATTGATTCAATGAGATCAGCCACACTTAATCCAATAGCCCAGTTGGTATATCCTTTTAGCTTGATAATTTCATAGGCACTTTCAACTACCATCTTGGGCACTTCCTTCCAACTTTAACTATCATTGTCCGTTCCTATTGCTGGATTCAGTTCCTGAAGAGAAACACCTGCCACGTTCACTCCGCCCCACCCGGCCACACTTGAGTCGCCATGTTCTCCCAGAATCCATCCATGGCAGCTGCTGGGATGGATGCCAAGTTTTTCAGACATAAAGTAGCGAAATCTAGCAGAATCCAGATTACATCCACTTCCAATCACACAGTGTTTGGGTAATCCACTTAGTTTCCAGGTAACATATGTGAGAATATCCACTGGGTTAGAAACCACAATTATGATGCAGTTAGGGCTGTACTTGACGATCTGAGGAATAATGAATTTGAAGACATTGACACTCCTCTGCACCAGGTGAGGCAACCCTCTCCCTCCTGCTGGTGAACTCCTGTGGTCACCACCCCAACCTGAGAATTGGTGGTCACAGAGTAATCTTTATCTGCCACAATTTTCGGTGTCTGAAGAAATAAGCTCCCATGTTGCAGATCCATCATTTCTCCTTTGAGTTTATCTTCCAAAACATCTGCAAGAGCAAGCTCATCAGCCAGAGACTTTCCCAGAGTGCTGATGGCACATGCCATACCAGCTTGTCCAACACCCACGACAGTCATCTTACTGTTTGGGACCACTGCCTCTTCTTTTACAACTGGCGCAATCAGTTCTTCCGTAAAAGTTGCCACTGTGCACGGGAGAGAGAAAGCCCTCCAGATCTTAGTAAGAGTCCTGCCAAGGAGACAATGCAAACTTTTAAACACAGTTAAGCATTTAATAGAATGGGAAGCCGACTGGACAGGAGAGCCAAGTGCTTTGATCCAAATTCAAAGTCCTGGTTCTGTTCAGTAAATGCTTAAAAGAAAAAACTTAAAGCATTTGGTACTCAACAGGTACTTCATAAATGTACATTTCCTTCCTCTCAGTACACTGGTTAGAAAGAGCCAATGAATAAAATGCCTGAGGATATAAAGCAGGGCATGAAATAAGGTATTTCTCAAGAAGAGGAAGGGGAGGGCTCAAGAACAGGACAGCTTGTTTGGCTTAGGGATGGGCAAACTTTTGAAATAAATGCAGACTACCCTGACTGGTGGGGCATAGTTGGTTGGCCAATGTTACACAAACGGAAAGGTTGCCAGTTTGATTCCAGGTCAGGGCACAGGCCCGGTTGCATGTTTGACCCCCCCACCCCCGCAATGAATCAATGTTTCTCTCTCACATCGATGTTTCTCTCCCTCTCCCTTCTCCTCTCTCCAAAACTATATAAATAAAATCTTAACAACAACAAAAAAAAAGACATGAAAGGCAGACTATTTCAAGACAGGAAAAAGTAGAGGAGAGGCAAATTAGGAGAGTCTACATTTAATGGGAAAAGAGCGGAGGAGGAGGGGAAGGGCTACTGAGGCTGCACCCCATTAACTTGCCATGTTCCCCAGTAACACTCAGCAACATGGCAGGAGCAGAGAACGCGTTTGATTGGATTCATCCAGGTTCGGACATTGGTAGGATGAGAGGGGCCTAAGAAAGAGGTAAGTGACCTGAGAAAGTTCTTGAAAGGGTCCCAGCAGTGAAGGACTATGGGGTACGGGTTGGGAAGGAAAGGAAGTCAAGTGAGACAGTTTACAGAATGGAACAGAGAAGAGCCGACGGAGGTGAAGGCACGCTGAGGTCAGAGAACAATTTATGGTACCACAGCCGGACTCATTCTTTTGATTTGGACAAATGAATAATTTTTTTCCTTATGCTTCATAGACTAGAAAATGTGAAAATAAATGTTTTAGAATTACATGTCTTCTAAGTAACAAAATTCAATCCTTACTTGGGTTACCATATTTATGAAGAAAAAAATGACATTAAACCTAAGTAGATAAATTAACATTTTATTCTATTTAAACTCCTCATTGTGTTTGGGTTTCTTCTGTATTGACAAGTGTGACTATAGTTCAAGTGTAAAGAATGGATTTTTGATCATTTAATAGATAAAATGACTATTAATAAGTCCCCAATGCAATGTCAAACCTTTCTGAAACTGACAAAGGCAAGATGAAAATGACAAAAGAATCATGAATAGTACAGAACAAAATTAGTTTAATTAGGTAAGGAATAATCAACTTAAACAAGCTTTATCTTAAAAGTATATATTTTGTGTATATAGTTAGCATTAGATCTTTCTGAATAATGATGCTTTTTTCTTCTAAGTTATGGTTCCATAAGCACAAAATTAAAATTCCCAGTGTTGTACAAATATCCATGATTTTAAGAGGTTTCCTTGTATCTAAAATGGCAGATTCAAGTTATCTTAAAAGTTAGTAAAAGCAGTATCCAACTTTTCAAAAAGATTTTTTTTTTTTTTTTTTTTTTTACTGATTCGAGAGAGAGAGAGAGAGAGAAGGGAGCGAGACAATTTGTTGTTCCACTTATCTATGCATTTACTGGTTGATTGTGGTATGTGCTGTGACCAGGGATTGAACCCACAACCCTGGCATATCAGGATGATTTAGGTTGAGTGCTTTTGGTGAGAATTTCTCATATACGTACTGGTAATTAGATCTGAGATAGCATACTATAGAACCAATCAAGCACATTGCAGTGTTCCTGAGAAATGCAAACTTACATTTTGGGATGTCAGCAACAACTATAATACAGGAATCAAGGTCTTTTTTTTTCTCCCCCTAACCTCTCAGCCACAGATGGCTCCAGGGGCGTGGGGCTGGAAGTGATACAAAGGGAGTCAGGGTTAAGGCACTATAAAGTTAATTGGTGCCTGATAGTGTAGTCTCTGGCTGCTTTTCAGCTCTCAGGTTAACACTTTCTTTCCTTTCATCACAAAGATTAAAGATGCCTGCAGTTAGTTCCCTTTCCATTCAAGCACCAACTGCTTTCAAGGAGGGTAGTGGGCAGGGAGGAAGAGGGCATTCTCTCCACCCCCCTCCCCTTTTGTATTTGAAGTAAGCAAACAGCTCGTTTGCGATTTTTACTGAGAAAATGTAAAAAGGTTTAAAGGCTCCTTCTTAAAATACTTCTCCATGTACCCATTAACAAATGAGGGTCTCAGGTGTCTTGGTGTTTAAAACTAGTAATTACTTAACCACCTCAATTTAAAACAATATATTACATAAGCATTAAACAGAATTAAGAGCCGAGAGTATTTTTACGAGATGTCATACATTTCTTGAGGATTAAGAATGTGATTAGAATTGCCTAGTACTTTTTTTCCTTCCCAAATGGAAAGACATATCTGTACCCAGATATTAATCAGTTTTGGGGCAGTAGCTTCTCTAGAAAGCAAGCATAATTTGGGCTAGCACATAAAAGGAGACTCCTTGGTTAAAGAGCAAAATTTGCCAGGTGGGGAGAGAGGAAAATGGAAGGAGGTAGAGAAAGCCACAGTGCTTACTGTGTATCACCGCCAGCCTTCATGGAAGACCTCAGCAAGGAAATTTCCAGGGAGGATGCTGATATTCTAAGCACCAGCATTCAGGAAAAGGAGTTCTGGTTGTCTCTGGGCCACTTAGTTACAGAAACTTGTCCTAAGTAGTCACTGGCTTGGCATTGGGGTAGATGAATTGGGAAATGTCCATATATTATAGTTAGGAAGTATCTGGATAAAAATTGCTGGAAACTTAATTTTTTTTTCGAAAAATTTTAAAAGATTTTTATTTTTAGAGAGGGAAGGGAAGGGAGAAAGAGAGAAATATCGACGTGTGAGAGATACATCAATCAGTTGCCCCACGCACACCCCCAACCAAGGACCTGACCCACAACCCAGGCATGTGCCCTGACCGGAAATCTAACAATCAATCTTTCCGTTAGAAGGCTGGCACTCAATCCACTGAGTCACACCAGCCAGGGTAGAATTCTTTATTGACAGAATCAATCAAATATTCATGGCAGAGCTGACCACAAAGACCCATCGCATCACACCATGACATTCAAATCAGATGTTATATGCGACTCCTTTTGACTCCACCGATTTTCTACAATGATTGCCCCATCCACTCAGTTTTTAGAGACAACAGCTTGCTCCAAATTCTTAAAATGATAAGCTAAAAGACAAAATAATCAAGTAAGCTATTAGACCTAATCAAAAATTGCTTAATATATTTCATTCTCTTCTTTGAACATTTTACTTAAGTGCTTTACTAGAGCTACTAGCTCAGGGTTCCCACCAAGTTCATCAATTTGTTTATAGGCTTTAGATTCAAGCTCTTTAAGAGTATTCCGAGTGTATTCAAAAGAACCTACGTTCTCAAGATAATGTACACAGTATTTTTTAATATCTATGTTTTCGGTTCTCTGGCGCAAGATATTCTGCACTTGGGTGCTTTCAGGCCTCAGCCAAATGGCATGAATAGTAGGGAATGAGAACTTTCCCTCTGTTATATCTTCACAAAAGCTTTTGTTTTCACTATATTCTTTGGAGTGTAGATTAGCATAATCATCTCTAATTTGGAAAAAGAGCCCAAGTGTATCAACTATTGGCTTTAAATCGTCTTTGTAATCAGAGAACAACTGCATGAGACCCACTGCTAATCCAAAGAGTCCACCTGTCTTCTGCAGCACCATAGCTTTATATTCCTCTTCAGTGGGACAAATGTAGTTATCCCTCCAATATATATCTAGGCCTTGTCCCTTATGGAGCTCCAAAAGCTGGCGGGTAAAAAGCTTTACTGCATCTGGGTGATCAAGGGTTAAGACTTTCTCCAGGCCAAGAAAGTATACATAATTGGCAGAATTGATGACAGATGGAATTCCATAGATGCTGTGTGTCACCGGAAAGCCACGGCGGAGTTTTGAATTGTCTTCAATATCATCGATGAGTAAACTGGCATTATGCAACATTTCTGTCACTTCGATGATAATCTAAAAAAAGACAATTGAAAATTTCATTTTTAAAAAAAATTTGAATTATTAATGGATGAGGGTCTCAGGTGCTTTAGTTTTTAAAACTAGTAATTACTTAGTAACCTCAATTTAAAACAATACATTGCATAAGCATTAAACAAAATTAAGAGCTAGGAGTATTTTTACATGATGTCATAAATTTCTTGGGGATTAAGAACGAGGTTAGAAGATTTCCGGCCAAGATGGAGGCATAGGTAGATACACTTTGCCTCCTCCCACAACCAAAAGGACAACAACAAATTTAAAAAGAAAAAATAACCGGAACTGCCTAAAAATCAAACTGTATAGAAGTCCGATGACAAAGGAGTTAAAGAAGAAACATTCATCTAGACCGGTAGGAGGGGCACAGAGGACTTGCAGCAAGGCGGTGGCTGCAGGACCGGGCAGGTGAGGCAGCGGCTGGCAGATCAGGTGGTCCCACACTGACGTGCAGATAAACTGGAGGAACAGCTGGGGAGCAAGACAGACCACACAACCCAGGGTTCCAGTGTGGGAAAAGCAAGCCTCAAAACCTCTGGAGGAAAAACCTGTGGGTATTGCAGTGGCAGGAGAAACCCTCAGCCTCACAGGAGAGTTGGCTAGAGGGACCCACGGGGTCCTAGAATGTACTCAAACCCACCCACCCAGAGTCAGCACCAGAGGGGTCCAATTTGCTTGTGGGTAGCTGGGGAAGTGACTGAAAGCCAGTGGAGAGCCAAGCAAGCAGCACTGTTCCCTCTCGGACCCCTCCCCAAAACAGCATCACAACCAGTGACCTGGGTTGCCCCTCCCTGGTGAATACCTAAGGCCACTCCCAACGTAACAGGGGCACTGAGACAAAGTGTGGCCCAAATGAAAGAACGGATCGAAGCTCCAAAAACAGAACTAAGTGAAGAATAGATACCCAACCTATCAGATGCGCAGTTCAAAACCCTGGTGATCTGGATGCTCACTAAATTGGAAGAGTATGGTCGCAAAATGGAGGAAAAAGCAAAGGCTATGCAAAGTGAAATAAAGAAAAATATACAGGGCACCAACAGTAAACAGAAGGAAACTGGGACTCTAATCAATGATTTGGACCAGAAGGAAGAGATAAACATTCAACCAGAACAGGATAAAGAAATTAGAATTCAAAAAAATGAGGAGAGGCTTAGTAACCTCTGGGACTTTAAATGATGATTCAACATCCAAATCACAGCAGTGCCAGGAGAAAAGGAAGACCAAGAAATTGAAAACTTATTTGAACAAATCATGAAGGAGAAATTCCCCAGTCTGGCCAAGGAAATAGACTTCCAGGAGATCCAGGAAGCTCAGAGAGTACCAGAGAAGTTGGACCCAAGGAAGCGCACACCAAGGCACATGATGATTAAGTTACCTAAGATTAAAGATAAGGAGAGAATCTTAAAAGCAGCAAGAGAAGAGTTACCAACAAAGGAGTTCCTGTAAGACTACCAGCTGATTTCTCAAAAGAAACCTTGCAGGCAAGAAAGGGCTGGCGAGAAATTTTCCAAGTCATGAAAAGCAAGGACCATGCACATCCAAGATTACTCTCTCCAGCAAAGCTCTCATTTAGAATGGAAGGGCAGATGAAGTGCTTCCCAGATAAGGTCAAGTTAAAGCAGTTCACTATCACCAAGCCCTTATTATATGAAATGTTAAAGGGACTTATCTAAGAAAAAGATCAAAAACTATGACCAGTAAAACAGAGGGGAGGGGTGAAGGGGGAAGAATAGGGTGAAAGGTGCAGGGAATAAGCAGCATAAATAGTTCACACAAAATAGGCAGTGGGAGGTTAAGAATAGTACAGGAAATGGAGAAGCCACGGAACTTACATGGACAACCCATGGACATGAACTATGAGGGAGGGATGCTGTGGGGTGGGGCAGGGTAGGGTGGGAGGCAATAAAGGGGAGAAAAAAATGGGACAACTGTAATCGCATAATCAATATATATTTAAAAGAAGGAAAAAAAAATGAGGTTAGAAATTGCCTAGATACCTGTAGCTTGTCTTCTGGGACTTTCAGCCAATGATTAAATGCCTGTGCAAGTTTGGTTCTCACTTGTTTACCTGCAATTACAGAATAACATTTGGTAATAAGTACTTTATTTAAAAAAAGTCAGAAATCTTCTTTAAAACCAACCACACCTGGTAAGTCCTCCCATCCAAGTACTAACCAGGCCCGACATGGTAAAACCTGCCCCATCAATCCAATACCCGCTGTGGAGCTTACCTTCTGCTGCGGGGCCACTACTGGCCCCTCCTGTCAAAAGTCACATTGCAAAACATACCACCTTAAAATTAGGGCAGGCAAAAGGGATTCTAAAGTACTGCAGCAGCCCACCAGGAAGCCCACTACCTTCCTCCCAACGTGTATCCACAACTTTGGAATACAATGGGGGTTTTAGGAATTGTGATCTAATTCACTCCTTTTGGAAAAGATGCCAGTCTAGGTAGCAGCAGTTAACGAAGCACTGTTCATTTCAGAGAACACAGGTATTTTTAATAAAATGTGCATTGCTACTGAATTGCCTCATACAATTACCTCTTAAAGTTACCTACCGTTCCTTTATATTAGGGTTTCAGAGAGTGGACAGTTCTGCTAGTTTCCTACCAAAAGGTGAGAGTGCCACACCCTGAGTTATTGCCCTTTAACATCTAAGTTTGACCAGCGTCATTAGTTTTCTAATTTTCTCTTTTTCATAGATGGAACGCTCAAGAGGTCTTCGGTAGTAGTTATCACCGTAAGTTATTTTAGCCCAAATATAAAGAATGAAAGACAAAACCCACAACCAGTTCATTCAATATAAATGCTCTATAATCTCTCTGCTAAACTGAATGCATGGACATTCGAATTTCAGATTAGGTTTCAGAAGAAGAATTACGTAAGAAATTTCAGTAAACAACTACAATCTTTTCTAAGTCTTACCTGTTTTCTCTGTACCAATCACCCACACAAATGAATACACACTCTCATCACATAATATTCATAGGGGACAGTTTCACTTTCTGTGAGCAGTTTAACAGAAGGGATTAGGGTTCAAGCAGCAGCATCTTCTATCTACTAACATTTAAGGTGAACGTGGGCTGGGTAGCTAGCTAGTAATTACATACTTTATACATTTGACCTACTTTCCAGTCTAACAAAGGTCATTCTGGGCCATACCTACAATGCACAACGATGCCAAGGCACCCGTCACACATTGGGAAGATGAAGAACACAGAAACTATCAAGGTGGAACCACATTTTTCCTTTCATTTCAGATTGTATGCAGGGAACAGTGCAGTCAATGGCTTCGCTTACAGGTGCTACAGTTGTAATATTCCCCCCTGCCACCCCCCCGCCCCCGATAGATTCTAGGGTCTGGCTTGATACTTTCAGTCCCCAAATAGTTTGTAATAGAGGTTAGACACAGAGATCCTTCAAAAGTAAAATCAACAATAATTGTTTTCTTTTTAAGATCTTAAAATGACCAACTCTCTCCTGCAGCCCCTTTTCTTCCTCTACTCCCAACTCACCCTCTCCCTGGGGACTTGCACTACAGCAAATAAGTAAACATCAAATGCACTAATTTCAGAAAATCCTAATATCAGTAATTATAATCTTATTAACAAAAGTAACTTTATAACAGAAGGTCTGGCCCACCTCTAAGTCACTTTAGTAACCCTTGAAACTTTCTGTGAAAAATGGCTTTATTATGCATAATGTAATCTCCTTTAGATTATATTCTATCATGGATGAAGTATATATTTGATTAAAAAAGGTGAGGTACCTAATGAAAGTTTTAATATTTAATTTTCAAAAACTTTATTCATGACACATATTTTACAAAAAAATACTCCCCATCCCCTGCAAATGAGGTAAAAAAATAAAATCCACCTCCCAACTCCCTGGGCTCACTGCCGCCAATTCCCTCCAAATAAAGGGGGGAAAAACCCAAAAACTGAAAAGAAGAGTCCCCAAACCCCTCCAAACAAGCAGTATATTTCCCCAGGGGAAGTCGAATTTACACTGGAGCTGCTGGGAGCTAAGGCCATCTTCTCCCTCTAGAAACTTTCAAAGAGCATAGGAAGAGAAAAAGAAATACAGAAGGAAACAAAGTAGATCGCCAGTCAATCTGGAGGGGCCTGAGCCAAAACACCGGGCGGTGGGTGGTAGACAGGGAAGGACTGGAGCAGGCAGGCGGGACGGTGAAAGACAGGGAGATGATGGAGAGAAGGTAACAAGCAGGACCGTTTGGTGTCATTCCAGAGACCTGGGCTAAACAAACAAACAAACAAACACACACACACCTATACGCTACCCCTGGGTAGCCCCTAAGGGGGTGAACTGAGAGGAAAACAGGGCAAGCGGCTTGGGCAGCTGAGTCCCTGGCAGGTCCCTGGAGGTAAGAAGCAGCCCCTGCCCCACTCCCTGGGGCAGGTTCCTCCTCAGCAGATCGGGATGGGTTCTCCCCTTTCCACAGTATCTTTTTTGAAAATTTTTTTCCATCCAGGTCATCTTCTGGTTTTAAGTATGTCATCTAGAACATATATTAAGGACCCATGGGCATGGACAATGGTGTGGGGATTGACTCTGGGAGTCGGGGGCGGGCTGAGTGGAGGAGGGCAAAGAGGGAAAAATTGGGACAACTGTAACAGCATAAACAAGAAAATATTATATAGTTTTCTAATGGTTTAAAATATTACTTCCAGATAATGAGGATTAAAGAACTGCTACAGAAGTTAATTGCATAGGATAACCATAATGGTTAAAATGTAACTATGGGTAGTCTGTGTTTTGCACAGTAGCTGGAGTGTCTGGAGTGGGAGATACTTTTTAGACTCTTGTTAGCACTGATAACAGGTTCCAGCCAGTTTTGCCAACTTGTTACAAAAGAAGTCCAGCAACAGATGGGTAGAGAGCAGGGGAAACAGTGCCATGTTTCTCAATGGAAGACCTTGAAGTAAGCAAAGCTACTAGCTGCTGAATGAACACCACTCAAAAGCAGTCTTCTTACAGCTTTTTCGTAAACAGAGGCGGCTTTCCCTTGCATTCTCCATTTGTCTTCCCTCCATTCTTCTGAAGCCCTGACATTAGCAGGTGTGTCTTCATTAGGCCCTACCATAATAAAGCTGACACTACGCACAATGGTTTCCAAGGTGTAGCTAGGGAGGTTCTACACTTCTGGCTTTGATGACCATAGTTATCTTCTCCAGACTCATAAAAAATAGAAATGCACATACTTCCACTGAGGAGTGCTCACTGTAGAACAGAAATGAAAATGTGTTTATTGTGATGGAGATGAGATCATCATTAGACTAAAGTTTAGCATTGGTTTTCATGGTTGTTATCACCTTTTATATTATTCCTGTGAGAAAGAGCATTCCAAGTAATTGGTTTATAAATAAATTTTTATTAAAAGAACTTACACTTATATGTATGAATTTTTACTATTATCATTTTTCCAAAGTTAAGAAATAGCACAATAAAACATGTACATACACATGAACACGATTAGGCAGGTGTAACTGTAGGAAGCCATGTCTGAGAGGTCCATCTTTATATAGGAATAATGGGGGTTATGCTTTTAGGTAATGTGATTTAGATGTGTCACTATTTGTTGCACAAATTGGCATAGGTTTTCCTAACCTACCTACAGCAATGTGTGGCATCCATAAAGAATAAAACCTTCAAAAAGATATTCAAATGTTTTAAGTATTTTTATTTTAGCTATGGTATATACTTGGATATTTTTAATGGGTACTTTAAATATGTCCCTTTTAAGAACAAAAGATCATTTTCCTCATATGTATAACCTTAAATAGAAAAATCTCAAGAGCTGGCAAGTCTAACCTCTTCTGCATGCTAATATTTGAATGACCACTATTACATAAAAACACCCTATATGGCTGGTAACTGAACTGCTACCTGGTAATTGAAGCAAGTACTTGTAGGGTTCTAGAAGAATTCTTTCGACTTTTTCTTGAGTCTTCTCCATTGTTTCTGAATTTCAAAGCTAATCTGTTAAAAAAGAGAAACGTGTATGATCTCATTAACTGGATTATCTTGAGTGCGACACTGCAAAGGAATTTCTATCTCATGGTGTTTTTGTAAAGCCAAAATTTCAGTTTTGGTCTAAAAGAAAATTCTATATATAATGCAATCTTGAAAACATTATGCAAAGTGAAAGAAGCCAGTCATAAAAGACCACATATTATATGATTCCATTTATATGAAATGTTCAAAACAGGCAAATCTATAGAGACAGAAAGTAGATTAATAGTTGCCTATGTTAGGGTAGGGGGAATACGGAGTGACTGCTAATGAGAACTCAGTTTCTTTTGGGGGGAGCATCAAAATGTTCTAAAATTAGACTGTGGTGGTAGTTGCACAACCCAGTGAGTATACTGAAACCCCTCTAATTATATACTTCAAACAGATGAACTATATCATATGTAAATTATATCTCATTTAAGAAAAAGGGAAGTTTTCACTGAAGTAATTGATCAAAGTATTCACCTGTATTTTCAAGTTACAAAACTTATATTAAGTTTTTCCTATTTACTCATCTATAAAAGGCTTATATTGTTGTATTAAATCAATGTTAAAACAAATCTACAGAGTTTGACTCTTCTATGTTTAATTGAGTATATAAATGAGTAAACATACTTTTTCCTATGAGCATTAAGATGAATGTTTTATATATTAAAATTTAAGAGGACATTTTTCTCCTGTATTTTCTGTACAATCAGTCCATTTCAGAGATTCTGATTTAAGATCTGCATTAACCTGAATGCAATTATATTAAAAATATTCCCCTGCCATTGATTTATTATTTTGAATTTTATGTATACTTCAATATTTCCCAGCATATCAATAACTCATGGTCTTCCTAGAATCCTCATTATTGAATCTCTATTACTCTGTAAAAAATCTACTATTTGTCCTCATATTAGGAGTTTTCTAACTGCTCTGACATCTTTGGCACATTTTAGGAGATTTTTCCCCTTTATCTGCTTTCTTTTCCTTCTTGGGACAATGATTTGATCTTTAGGATCATGAACCTAAAGAGCTGAAAAGTGCATTTTTTTTTTTTGTAATTTATTCTTGAGTATGTACGTGAAACAATCTTAAAAATGTTAGCAAACCATCAAAGGAAATTATCTTAGTAACGTGATTTCAAAGAGAAACATTCCATACAGAAAATTTCTATATTTACCTTAACCAATAATTAATACTAAGTACGTCACAAGGGAAATAAAGTCCAGAAAATATTTTGAAATAATCCAAAAAAACAGATCAGTAACCAATCACGTACACTGTTTAAGTACTGACATAGGTTATCTCATTCTTAAGAGATAAAAGAAGGTAACATGCAGGAAGAATAACTGATACAACGCTAGAAGAGCAAAAAGCACCTCTTAAAGGCGTCTCTAAACCAAGTAGTACCCATCTCTTTCCATATTTATCTCTTTCACAGCCTTCGGGGTACATTTGACTTAACTTAAAAATCAGTGAGACTAACTTTCAAGAATTCTCTTTTGTCGCTGAATCAGTGACATGTAACTCTGTTGAATGGAAATCTAACCTTTGTTTTAATTCTTACTTGATGCTTTTTTTTACTTAAAATATTAGTTATGAATTTTTAAAAATTATTCCTTTCTGAGCTCACTCAGGTAAGTTTAAGAACATCCACTTAACAAGTCAATTAATATTCCTTTCCCAAAGGACTGTTTATACCCAAGACTTCTCAGCAGTGGGAAGACATAGGAATCTCAATTTTTCTAGGTATTTTCTAGGTCTCAGGGGTTCTACACTCTGTAGCACATGGTCTGACCTGCCCCCCCTTTTTTAAACTCAAAGACCTCCACTTTATTTCAGCCAGGAATTTCGGCTCTCTTGTACTAGACTGAAATGTAAAGAGGTATTAGTTTGTTACCGACCTCTATTAATTTATCAGATTGACTAACACTAGAGAACAGCTATGTGAGTCCGAAACTACTCACTTTCAAAAACTAAAACTGCTTTAATTTTGTTCAAACACTGGATGGATGAACAAACACAAAAATCAGGTTCTCTCTTACCGTTACTACTACAATAACTTCCAGATTGGGTTCCCCGCATTAACTAGTGATCTTTGCAAAATTCAGATCTTCGAAAGGGATCTCTCGTCTCGACTGAACAAAAACTCCTTAACAAATTGTGTAAGGTTCTGCGTCCCCATCCCTCCAGCTTCCGTTGCTCGTACTTCAAAAGCTCCCTCTGACACAACGCTTTCCAACATGTTAATCTTTTTGTCTGAAATGTTCTTTTCAACAGAAAACACTTCAACTCTCAGGTCGATCCTCTCCGGCTCGGGTAAGCCTTCCTTTAGGTCCCTAAGCCAAATCCCCTAACTCGCTTTCTCCAATTACCAACTAACTGCTCCGTACCACTCACCGCTGCTGGAATTTCACACTCGCACGTGTCCGCTTTGCGCTCAGTAAATACGGGAGGTACTGACCTAACGAACGGAAAGTGCTCTCTACCGCGTTAAGAGCATGAAATCATGCACATAAAAAATGAAAACATCAAGGGAACAGTCTGGTTTCAAACTGTCTCAACAGCGACATACAAATGTAAGCGCAGCTGTGGAGCGAAGAGATCGCTTCCACTCCACTGCGGGAGACGACAGGTCTGTAGAAGACGGCCTGAAGTGCTGGCGGGGAATTCAAACAACTCCGAGGCCGACTTCCATCAGTGGCTTGGCAGAGAGCCCCCGGAGTCTACTCTGCCAGCAGAGCCGAGGGTCCGCGGAGCCCCGCTCACTCTCCCTTCAGACGCCTCCTTTCCGCTCCGCGCCCTCCGACTCCTCCCCTTCTCCAGCAAGCGGACAGAAAATTCGTACACAATCCGGTTCAGCATCCGGGTCCTCACCCTCCTTCTTTCTTTACTCCAGCCCCGCCCGCCTCCCCATCCGGGTCCCCCCAGCCGCCACCGCCACTGCCGCTCACGGTTCAACGATGAGGTCACAGCTGTCGCGCTGCCGGTCCAGGAGTAGCAATACCAAGCATCAACTTCCCACTTTATAGTTCAAGCCGCGGTTCCTCCTCACGCTGACAGGAACGCCTCTCCCTACTTCATAACTGAACTCTCCGCCCTCCTCCGCCAACAGTGCCGCCGCATTACTCTGTTCAGGAAAATGCGCCATCCCGGTCACACTGCGCAGGCGTCGTTGACACCTCCCCTCTGCTGTGTTGCCCCGCCCCTTCCCCGCTGCCCCCGTTTCACGCAGGCGCGGGGCGTTGCGGGTCTTGCAGTTTTCGAGGGCATGGGCTTGCGCACTGGCCCCACAAGTGGGACTACATTTCCCGGGAAGCTTTGAGGTGTAACTTTCTGTTTCCATAGAACTGGTGGGAAAATGGCGTCGTTGTTTGTATCCAGAGGGCCAATAAGGGACAAGGTGTAGGCGGGTCCTTATTGGCCCTCTGGATACAAACAACGACGCCATTTTCCCACCAGTTCTATGGAAACAGAAAGTTACACCTCAAAGCTTCCCGGGAAATGTAGTCCCACTTGTGGGGCCAGTGCGCAAGCCCATGCCCTCGAAAACTGCAAGACCCGCAACGCCCCGCGCCTGCGTGAAACGGGGGCAGCGGGGAAGGGGCGGGGCAACACAGCAGAGGGGAGGTGTCAACGACGCCTGCGCAGTGTGACCGGGATGGCGCATTTTCCTGAACAGAGTAATGCGGCGGCACTGTTGGCGGAGGAGGGCGGAGAGTTCAGTTATGAAGTAGGGAGAGGCGTTCCTGTCAGCGTGAGGAGGAACCGCGGCTTGAACTATAAAGTGGGAAGTTGATGCTTGGTATTGCTACTCCTGGACCGGCAGCGCGACAGCTGTGACCTCATCGTTGAACCGTGAGCGGCAGTGGCGGTGGCGGCTGGGGGGACCCGGATGGGGAGGCGGGCGGGGCTGGAGTAAAGAAAGAAGGAGGGTGAGGACCCGGATGCTGAACCGGATTGTGTACGAATTTTCTGTCCGCTTGCTGGAGAAGGGGAGGAGTCGGAGGGCGCGGAGCGGAAAGGAGGCGTCTGAAGGGAGAGTGAGCGGGGCTCCGCGGACCCTCGGCTCTGCTGGCAGAGTAGACTCCGGGGGCTCTCTGCCAAGCCACTGATGGAAGTCGGCCTCGGAGTTGTTTGAATTCCCCGCCAGCACTTCAGGCCGTCTTCTACAGACCTGTCGTCTCCCGCAGTGGAGTGGAAGCGATCTCTTCGCTCCACAGCTGCGCTTACATTTGTATGTCGCTGTTTAGACAGTTTGAAACCAGACTGTTCCCTTGATGTTTTCATTTTTTATGTGCATGATTTCATGCTCTTAACGCGGTAGAGAGCACTTTCCGTTCGTTAGGTCAGTACCTCCCGTATTTACTGAGCGCAAAGCGGACACGTGCGAGTGTGAAATTCCAGCAGCGGTGAGTGGTACGGAGCAGTTAGTTGGTAATTGGAGAAAGCGAGTTAGGGGATTTGGCTTAGGGACCTAAAGGAAGGCTTACCCGAGCCGGAGAGGATCGACCTGAGAGTTGAAGGGTTTTCTGTTGAAAAGAACATTTCAGACAAAAAGATTAACATGTTGGAAAGCGTTGTGTCAGAGGGAGCTTTTGAAGTACGAGCAACGGAAGCTGGAGGGATGGGGACGCAGAACCTTACCCAATTTGTTAAGGAGTTTTTGTTCAGTCGAGACGAGAGATCCCTTTCGAAGATCTGAATTTTGCAAAGATCACTAGTTAATGCGGGGAACCCAATCTGGAAGTTATTGTAGTAGTAACGGTAAGAGAGAACCTGATTTTTGTGTTTGTTCATCCATCCAGTGTTTGAACAAAATTAAAGCAGTTTTAGTTTTTGAAAGTGAGTAGTTTCGGACTCACATAGCTGTTCTCTAGTGTTAGTCAATCTGATAAATTAATAGAGGTCGGTAACAAACTAATACCTCTTTACATTTCAGTCTAGTACAAGAGAGCCGAAATTCCTGGCTGAAATAAAGTGGAGGTCTTTGAGTTTAAAAAAGGGGGGGGCAGGTCAGACCATGTGCTACAGAGTGTAGAACCCCTGAGACCTAGAAAATACCTAGAAAAATTGAGATTCCTATGTCTTCCCACTGCTGAGAAGTCTTGGGTATAAACAGTCCTTTGGGAAAGGAATATTAATTGACTTGTTAAGTGGATGTTCTTAAACTTACCTGAGTGAGCTCAGAAAGGAATAATTTTTAAAAATTCATAACTAATATTTTAAGTAAAAAAAAGCATCAAGTAAGAATTAAAACAAAGGTTAGATTTCCATTCAACAGAGTTACATGTCACTGATTCAGCGACAAAAGAGAATTCTTGAAAGTTAGTCTCACTGATTTTTAAGTTAAGTCAAATGTACCCCGAAGGCTGTGAAAGAGATAAATATGGAAAGAGATGGGTACTACTTGGTTTAGAGACGCCTTTAAGAGGTGCTTTTTGCTCTTCTAGCGTTGTATCAGTTATTCTTCCTGCATGTTACCTTCTTTTATCTCTTAAGAATGAGATAACCTATGTCAGTACTTAAACAGTGTACGTGATTGGTTACTGATCTGTTTTTTTGGATTATTTCAAAATATTTTCTGGACTTTATTTCCCTTGTGACGTACTTAGTATTAATTATTGGTTAAGGTAAATATAGAAATTTTCTGTATGGAATGTTTCTCTTTGAAATCACGTTACTAAGATAATTTCCTTTGATGGTTTGCTAACATTTTTAAGATTGTTTCACGTACATACTCAAGAATAAATTACAAAAAAAAAAAATGCACTTTTCAGCTCTTTAGGTTCATGATCCTAAAGATCAAATCATTGTCCCAAGAAGGAAAAGAAAGCAGATAAAGGGGAAAAATCTCCTAAAATGTGCCAAAGATGTCAGAGCAGTTAGAAAACTCCTAATATGAGGACAAATAGTAGATTTTTTACAGAGTAATAGAGATTCAATAATGAGGATTCTAGGAAGACCATGAGTTATTGATATGCTGGGAAATATTGAAGTATACATAAAATTCAAAATAATAAATCAATGGCAGGGGAATATTTTTAATATAATTGCATTCAGGTTAATGCAGATCTTAAATCAGAATCTCTGAAATGGACTGATTGTACAGAAAATACAGGAGAAAAATGTCCTCTTAAATTTTAATATATAAAACATTCATCTTAATGCTCATAGGAAAAAGTATGTTTACTCATTTATATACTCAATTAAACATAGAAGAGTCAAACTCTGTAGATTTGTTTTAACATTGATTTAATACAACAATATAAGCCTTTTATAGATGAGTAAATAGGAAAAACTTAATATAAGTTTTGTAACTTGAAAATACAGGTGAATACTTTGATCAATTACTTCAGTGAAAACTTCCCTTTTTCTTAAATGAGATATAATTTACATATGATATAGTTCATCTGTTTGAAGTATATAATTAGAGGGGTTTCAGTATACTCACTGGGTTGTGCAACTACCACCACAGTCTAATTTTAGAACATTTTGATGCTCCCCCAAAAGAAACTGAGTTCTCATTAGCAGTCACTCCGTATTCCCCCTACCCTAACATAGGCAACTATTAATCTACTTTCTGTCTCTATAGATTTGCCTGTTTTGAACATTTCATATAAATGGAATCATATAATATGTGGTCTTTTATGACTGGCTTCTTTCACTTTGCATAATGTTTTCAAGATTGCATTATATATAGAATTTTCTTTTAGACCGAAACTGAAATTTTGGCTTTACAAAAACACCATGAGATAGAAATTCCTTTGCAGTGTCGCACTCAAGATAATCCAGTTAATGAGATCATACACGTTTCTCTTTTTTAACAGATTAGCTTTGAAATTCAGAAACAATGGAGAAGACTCAAGAAAAAGTCGAAAGAATTCTTCTAGAACCCTACAAGTACTTGCTTCAATTACCAGGTAGCAGTTCAGTTACCAGCCATATAGGGTGTTTTTATGTAATAGTGGTCATTCAAATATTAGCATGCAGAAGAGGTTAGACTTGCCAGCTCTTGAGATTTTTCTATTTAAGGTTATACATATGAGGAAAATGATCTTTTGTTCTTAAAAGGGACATATTTAAAGTACCCATTAAAAATATCCAAGTATATACCATAGCTAAAATAAAAATACTTAAAACATTTGAATATCTTTTTGAAGGTTTTATTCTTTATGGATGCCACACATTGCTGTAGGTAGGTTAGGAAAACCTATGCCAATTTGTGCAACAAATAGTGACACATCTAAATCACATTACCTAAAAGCATAACCCCCATTATTCCTATATAAAGATGGACCTCTCAGACATGGCTTCCTACAGTTACACCTGCCTAATCGTGTTCATGTGTATGTACATGTTTTATTGTGCTATTTCTTAACTTTGGAAAAATGATAATAGTAAAAATTCATACATATAAGTGTAAGTTCTTTTAATAAAAATTTATTTATAAACCAATTACTTGGAATGCTCTTTCTCACAGGAATAATATAAAAGGTGATAACAACCATGAAAACCAATGCTAAACTTTAGTCTAATGATGATCTCATCTCCATCACAATAAACACATTTTCATTTCTGTTCTACAGTGAGCACTCCTCAGTGGAAGTATGTGCATTTCTATTTTTTATGAGTCTGGAGAAGATAACTATGGTCATCAAAGCCAGAAGTGTAGAACCTCCCTAGCTACACCTTGGAAACCATTGTGCGTAGTGTCAGCTTTATTATGGTAGGGCCTAATGAAGACACACCTGCTAATGTCAGGGCTTCAGAAGAATG